AAACATTTTAAGGCTTTTTGGAAACTTTATTGATTTCTCTCACTATGCATGTTAGAATAATGTGTATTTGGCTTTGCCCATTGCAGCTATTTGCCATCAATTAAAGGCTATTCACAACACTACGAAATATGCACCTTGCTTAAGATGAAGTCACGGAGAGAAATCAAATTGCCCAGTTGAAATGAATATCTGTGCTTTTAGACTTATATTTGTACAACATGATCCAGTGGATCTCATTTTCACGTGGCTTATCTTGTTGTAGAAATACTAGACCTAAAGATGGTGAATTAAACAAGCATAAATTAGTGTCAAATGGCCATTTTTGCAGGGGGTCCTCCTAACTTGAGGGGAATAAAATATTTTGACCTACTATTTTGCCACAATCATTCACTCACCAAACCCAACATTTGTGCCAAGTTTGAGCGAAATTGGTGATTTGAGCTGTATCACCTCCTGCCTGGTTTTCTCATAGACACACTCCTCATGTCCTGGTGTTTAGTAAAATGTTTGACCGTTCAGATGTGTGGTCAAACTCTCCAAGTTGCAATATAGACAAACTGCAAGCAGTACAGAATTTCGCCTGTAGAATAGTAAGCAGCCCAAGTAACTGGTCATTCGGATTGACAGGAGAGAGAGGGAGAGAGGTATAGTGCACTGAGAAGGGCAATAAATTTTCAGACAAGGTTAGTAGTCGACATGTCTCAGGGTACGCGTAGTGTTTTTATTGTAGATTTTCCGCCCTATTCCTTGTATGTACATGGGGATCTAAAAGGATCTGATGATGATGATGATGATCAGGTTAGTGACTTGATCGATGAAGCTGGTAATCAAGACAGTAGAAAAGGCATCTGCTGGTCTAAACTATACCCAAAGGGTGTGGTTTTTTGGCCGTTTTGGTCAGAAATAGGTTATCGACTTTGGCCATACTGGTCTCAAATAGGGTATGGATTTTGCACCCTAGTCTTGAATTGTGTATGTTTTTAGAAGAAACTACCTTTTCATCATTATCAATAAGAACATCAACAAAAGCCCTTCACAATGCCTTTAACATTAATTATAAGGCAGGTCTGAAACAGGTTATTGATTTAAGGGTCAGGGGCCCATTTCTTGAAAGTCCCAAAAAGCATTGACCCCGAAAAGCTATAGCAAAATCTCAAACCTTTTCCGCCCTATTCCTCAGATGTACTCGGGATCTAAAAGGATTTGATGATGATGATGATGGTGATCAGGTCAGTGACTTGATCAATGATGCTGGTAATCAAGACAGTAGAAAAGGCGTCTGCTTATGCAATTACAAGTAAGAATTTTGAAATGCTCAACATAATTGTCAGCTGTGACTCAGTGGGATAGAACAGGGGCCTTGTAAGCTGCATAAGGGGAGTCCAGGATATGGGTTACTGACCAAGCGTGTCTGGATTTTGACAACGATTTTGTATTTTGGCGTCTTTATGGACTGAGACGCAGTCGAGATCCATAAGCAAAAAAAATCTTGAACAAACAAGCTTGGTTAATAAATGATTTGTTTGTGTTGGAGTGAGACACAGTCGAGATCCATAAACATAAAATCCTGACCGAACAAGCTTGGTTAATAAATGAATTATTTGTGTTCCTGTGCAGGACAGTCAACTCCAACAGACCTCTCTCCACCCAGGAGGGGAACAATATAACTGTTAAGGCAAAACCCTTCCAAAGGGAAGGGGACCACTTGGTGTTAGACTACCATCCTAACCAGATGGAAAAGCAATACAGCAAATTGTTTCATGCTACATGCTCTTGGATAAGCTCCATTTTGTCCGATTGCGACTCTACCTTAGCTAAGCTGCTGAATTTCCAAAGCCTGTTGACTCTCTTTTATGGGATAAGATTTTCAAATCTTTAGCTTCGAATTTGTTAGCGAATTTAGTCAGTGTTTAAGGGTTTGCTCGTACAACTCGTTTGAGAGGCAAGAAGGTGGCAAGTTTCTTTTGGTAATTTAATTATATAAATTATGTGGGAAACAGAGAGAAGGCAGCAGGCACTCGACCCATGTCTTGCTGTAAAAGTGTTACTGGGGGTTGAAGCCTAAAACTGCCTACCCTATGATGGACAAAAACCTCCAATCTGGCGGCCTGTTGAGTACCGAGCTTTGGGTATTGACAAATTGGTAATTTTCTTAGTAGAGGCTATATGATGGAGCAACCCCTCCCCTCCTCCCTCCGGAGGGTGTATGCACATACGGTACATGTAAGATAACTCAAGATAACTTTATTTAACTTGACGGTAAAATTCCTTCTGCTATACAATGCTAAAACACACTCAGTAACAAACTCGGTATATATAAGAGCTAAAATTACAAGAGGATTACATTAAAATGTAAAAGAAGCTGCTTTTCAAGGATGCCATGTAAATTCAAGGCAAAATTGTGGCGACATATAGTTATTTCAGTTTTGAAATAATCTCTTAGAGTTGTTGATTGTCGCAAAGCTGATAAGCTGCTCCACTAATCGATTCCACTCACAGCTGTACAAAAAACATTTCTCTAAGTAATAAGCAAGGGGATGTGTAATAATCGCTAATACTGTCTATTTTTGTGGTTAACAAACTGTTTCCAATGATCAGATCATCGGATGTAACTAATGTTCAAAGTGAACTCAAAAATATTCCTAGCTCGGAAAACTTCGGTCATCCTCAGATACGATCAGATCCTTTTAAAAAACATACTCAGTAACTAACTCGGTATATATAAGAGCTAAAATTATAAGAGGATTACATTAAAATGTAAAAGAAGCTGCTTTTCAAGGATGCCATGTAAATTAAGGCAAAACTGTGGCGACATATAGTTATTTCAGTTTGGAAATAATCTCTTAGAGTTGTTGCTTGTCGCAAAGCTGATAAGCTGCTCCACAATTCGATTCCACTCACAGCTGTACAAAAAACATTTCTCTAAGTAATCATCGCTAATAACTGTCTATTTTTGTGGTTAAAAAACTGTTTCCAATGATCAGATTATCGGATGTAACCAATGTTTAAAGTGAACTCAAAAATATTCCTAGCTCGGAAAACTTCGGTCATCCTCAGATACGATCAGATCCTTTTAAAAACTCCTGTCACTCTCGGTAAAAAAAATCACAACCGCGACTAGGTACCTATGGGGGGCCTCGACCGATGTATCGATCGATATATCGGTTGATATATCGGTAGATACTCGACCGATACTCGATCTAGTGCTGGTGGAGTATCGACCGATAGTCCACTTAATGTCGGTCGACGTATCGATCACGATACTATATCGGTCAACTATCGGTTATATATCGGTCGATTGTCGGTCAAGTGTCGGTCGATACTCGACCGATATATCGATCGAGTATCGACTGATACTCGGTAGAGTATCGACAAATGCACGCACGCCAGTTAAAAAATGCGTTTTTCTGCAGCATGTATATTTTGCAGGTTGCAGGTCGAAATGAGCTGTTCATTCGAATTGAAGTTGAATAAACTCCAATACAAAGGCTAACCGCAAGCAACCTAAGCTGATTTATGCTAACCGGAGTGCTATGTAGGCTATCCGAGACTCAAAAGTTGATTTTTCAGGCTGCAACCTAGAACCTGCAAAATATACCTGCCAGTTCTTCTGGGCGAACTCGGGAGACCCGAAAACCGTCGATTTAAACTCGTTTTCATTTTAAATCACCACTGAAGTACAAAGGTTTATATCAACGAAAGTTTCTTGGTACATGAAATTAAAAGGACGTCAAAGGTATTTCGTCCTTCCTGAAATTTACAGTGTTTTCAATTGGCGGCGAGCGACTCGAAATCGTCTATGTTCTTCGAATAAGTTGTTTTTCGTTCGTCTCCAATATTTAAGTTCCAGGCGTAGCTAATCGAACGTTCGGCAATCGAACTCAATCGAAGTTAATCGAACTCAATCCATAGATTGAGTTTGATTGATTAGGTGATAGAACATAATCGAACAAGGAAATTTTCTGTGAGTTCGATTAACTTAATCGAACCCAATCGAACTCAATCCGATGGACTGAGTTCAACTGGGTTCGGAAATCGAACAGAATCCGTGAAACACGTTCGATTCCCGGCTCGGCAACTAGGAGACCGGATGCAATTGACCCGGGAATAGAGCGCAAATTCTGGTACAGCTACAAAGCCATCCTATCAGACACAAAATGTTGTCGTGCTTTTAATTATTGAGCGAACCAAACTGTCGCCACTATTCGATTACCCCAAATTTTTTTGTGAGTTTGGTTACGTTCGATTACCGACCCACTCGAACTCAATCCTGAGTTCGATTAAAATCCGTTCAATTTTGTTCGATGAGCTACGCCGGGTTAAGTTATATTTTTCGATTCACATTTTTGTTCTATTTAGAGAAACAATTAGTTTTTTTCGTTAATCAGCTCTGAAACTTAATTCTTTTTTCGCGATCAATGTTTCATTTTTCACGGCTCGATAGAAATAGAGCAGTATTCGTCAGTCGATCAAAATGCCAACTTTTGCAAAGGCTGTGGTAAAGGTACGTTTCTTAATCTAAAGCATTCGTATTTGCATCTCTTTTAGTTTCTAGTAACGATAGGCACGTGAGAAGTCGGACAAACTGCTCGGTCTGTAATTCACTGCCCTTTTATAGACCCTATTAATAAATGGCTGCCAATTTAAAATTCTTTTGTGCGTATTTAAAGTAGCCCAACTAACCTTGTTTGAAAGTAAAAATTCTTTTCAATTATCAACTCATAAACGAGGTTAGCTTCGTGTAGGCGAAACGAATTCGATCAGTAGGCGAATCGACTTGTAGGCGAAACGACCGACATTCGACATAATTCGCAGATAAGGGAAACTGCACTGCACTGGCGGTTTCCTAGCGAGCGGTGTGTTACTGTCACGCGGCGTACCACTTTAAATGCAAATAACAATCGCTCACCAACTCGTTTTCTTTGTTTTGCCGTGAGTAAATTCTGTTTTGCCGCGAGTTGGTGTTCTGCCTAGCCTTCGAAAACATCCGTTTCTCCTCACTCTTCGCCGCTGGGGACGTTTCGCCCGGAGGAACGTGTGCGACTTAGCGACAGAAATTCCATACTGATGACGGATGTTTTCGCAGGCTATGTTCTGCCGTGAGTTAATTTTGTTTTGCTGTTAGATAACATTGTCTTGCCGTGAGTAAAGTTTGTAGTGATTTCTTAATTAGTACTTCTAGGCAGATAGCTGGATATTTGCAGTTTTACACAAAAGGGATGAAAACGAAAAATTTAATCGAGTTGCTTTTTTGCATCCAGCCTGTCAGGGTTTCCTTGAAATTAATGCATGGCCGAACGTTCATTTGTTCAGAACGCAATGAAGGCGTCCTTGTTTCGCTTAGTCCGTCGCGCGTGACGCGGGGAAAAAAAACGTAAGAAAGAAATGGCCACGCGAAATACTGGGGGCGGGAAGGATTTTGAGAGGCCATTTCTTTCTCATTCTTTTTTCTGCGTCACGCACGGCTTTGCGTCACGCTCGGCTCGGCGGCGCACTACAAGTCAATTAATCAGAGCCCCTACAGCTTCCACCAAATGAATATGAGCTTAACGTAAACGTAATAGCCACTCCATAAGTTCATCAGGGCTCGGCTCTGCGTAAATCCGATGTAACTCCCTTATAGGTCCCAACAAATCATGACAAGCAAGACGTGAAAGTAATGGCCACTCCATACATTCATGAAAGCTCAGCTCTGGGTCACGCTCTGCTCGGCGGTGCCATACTTGTAATCTACAAATGCCTAGTTCATGCGTCTCCTTTATGGCTTCCACCAAATCATGACAAGCAACACATGAAAGTAATGGCCACTCCATACATTCATGACAGCTCGGCTCTGGGTCACGCTCGGCTCTGCTCGTCCCTGCGTCACGCTCGGCTCGGCGGCGTACTACTTGTAATCTATAAATCTCTAGCTCAAGAAACTCCTTTATAGCTTCCACCAAAGCATGACAAGCAACACATGAAAGTAATGGCCACTCCATACATTCATGACAGCTCGGCTCTGGGTCACGCTCGGCTCTGCTCGGCTCTGGGTCACGCTCGGCTCTGCTCGGCTCTGGGTCACGCTCGGCTCTGCTCGTCCCTGCGTCACGCTCGGCTCGGCGGCGCACTACTTGTAATCTATAAATCTCTAGCTCATGAAACTCCTTTATAGCTTCCACCAAAGCATGACAAGCAACACATGAAAGTAATGGCCACTCCATACATTCATGACAGCTCCGCTCTGGGTCACGCTCGGCTCTGCTCGGCTCTGGGTCACGCTCGGCTCTGCTCGGCTCTGGGTCACGCTCGGCTCTGCTCGTCCCTGCGTCACGCTCGGCTCGGCGGCGCACTGCTTGTAATCTATAATCAGCAACACCATAGTTCCATACTTCATTTGTTGATGTAGGTGTGCCTCCCACCATAGGCATCTGGAAATATTCAGACACCCTCGCTATAAGGGAAGATGGTTTTAAGCAGTCTTTCAAGAACAATTGTGGAAAGAGGACAATTCTTCCCTGAATCTTATCCAACTCCTTTGTAGCTTGCTCCAAATAATGATCAGCTGAAAGTGATTGCCACTGCTTAAGTTCATCAAAGTTCCGTACTTCATTTGTTGGAAGTATTCTTCCCCGAAATACGCTCTCAAAAATACGAGTGTTTTCCTCAGCTAGTTCTAAAAAGGTACTGTGGAAGGAGCTTGTCAATGGGTCTTCTACCTTGATATTTAGTGATATCGCAGTCGTTTCTGATAGAAGGCCAAGATGTTCTTTTAGTAAGTGACAGCGTAGACTGTGAGAGAACTTTCCCACTTGGTAGGGTCTTCCATTCATCTTCCCTTCCATCATTTCATTGTCTTGTATGATTACTGCTACTTCTGAGTCCCTGTCTCCAAGCATGCTGCGGTCATTGATGTTTGCTGACCCTATGATAGCCACTCGGTCATCAACAATCATCAGCTTACTATGCACATAAACAATCTCCGTCACAAGGTTCCCATTTAGAGACCCATGTGTCCGCAAACCATGCACACTGAAGTAGTTAGGTATTGCTTCTGATGGAATTCCCTTTTCTTTCAGCCTGTTCATCAAACACTCTTCCCCACGGTAGATGGTGGCATAAGTCTCGTAGCTCACAAGTCTTAAGTTATCGTCTGTGTCCCATTTCTCTGGAAACTCTGGCTTTAATGGTATGATGACCATTGCGCGGAAATCCTGACTTTGTTGATGAGCACGATAAATTCTGTCAGCCAAGGTTAGCATTACTTTATTGTGCACTTCCCCGTGAGATGAGATGAAAAATTGATTTTCGATGTAAACAAAATGCTCTGCATTCTCAATTGCGTGTAGATAAGCATTGTAGATAGAGGTTTCCTTTGGCTGACCGGCTGACCATTCGCCCACTGAACGGAGAACTTGTATCGTGAGATTCCTACCACTTGGATCTGAAATCTGATAAAGTTCAGTATTCGGTAGGATATCTTGAAAGCCGTAATGTGGCTTGAGATATTTGTATCTCTGAATAAAGTGTGTGGCAACATCAAGAGCAGGAGGTCCAGAAACTGAGCAAGCCACATCATGCCATGGCAAGCGAGGATCTTTACTTCTATCAACATCATCCTTCATAGGCTCATCCAGGTTAGTTCTTGGTCCATGTAGGAAGGTGTTACCGTAGTCCTTACCTACCCACTGTGCATATTGTACTCTAGATTTCTTAGGAATTCTGGCACACTCATCACTCTCCAACACACAGGGATGAGGTGCAAAGGGATCTGTTAACAGGTGGCTGTGAGTATCCCATCGGCCAAAGCAAAGATCAATGCCCCCAACGAACGCTACACTCCGATCAACAACCACCACTTTCTCATGGTGACTCCACCTGAACATGGTGGAAGGATTAAGCCAGAGGGTAGTCATATCTGGATGACGAAGAACCTCGATGTTGTCATGACTCAGAACAGTTTTAGCATATTCACTACCAAGGTCCATACCCGCTATTTTCTTCGATTCCCAGTAGAGTAATATGTACGTTCGAACACCTTGCTCAGCTTTTCTCAGCAACATCTTATCCAGACGCCAAAATAAACTGTCGACTCCCGAGTCAGGCCTTTTCATGAAGATGTGTGGATTGAGTTGCCAGTCTGTGATGAAGATCTCCTGTTTCGCTGCTTCAATCGAATCAGCAACAGCTGCCATATAGTCCTGTCCGTCCACGTACCATTTCGCTTGACTTCCATTCCTTATTGGTGCAAACGAGCCAAAACGATGTTCGGCAGTCGACCCTTTAGTTGCCATTTACAGTTGTTCAAACATGCGTGTACAGTCTACACAACAAAGTAATCTTATCGAGTTCAAGGATCGTGTTGACCAGCCGGCTTCGCGTGCTCAATTTTACAATTGCCTCTGCCTTCAATTCAAGGTGGCACTTAACTTGAGGCAAAAGGAGACGAGGGGAAAAAGCAACCTAGTCAGGAACCAGGTTGGGAACCAAAGCAAGAATCAAGTTTGAAAAGGAACTGTCTTCAATTAAAATAAAGAAGAGGTTTGACGTCATTGGCAGGTAGCCATGGTGACCGGTGGTTTATTTACCAAACATTGGCCAACTTCCTTTGTTGGTTCAGAGGGCCAATAACTAAAACCAGCCAATCAGATTGCTTCATTGCTGGTCCAATATTTTTCAAGTATTGGACAATGCACTGTATCGAATGATCACGCGAGATGACTGTGAAAGGGTTTTGGTTTTATGGCTCACTTTTTAAAAAAGTAATAAGGTAACCTTGAGGTAAAAATCACTTTCCAGCTGAGCAGGAAATGCCTAGTTCTTGGCTGTTGTCGCCGACTTCCGCGGAGGCTGATCGTGTGGTCGCGCATGCCTAATTATAAGATAATCTTTTAAATTCATAATTGATTTCTATTTATAGCGTTTTTTAATGTTTTCGCTTGATGATAGGGAATTGGGAGTTTTTGTCCGAAGATTGTTTTGCAAATAGGGCTATGCCCATTCCTGCACCTGGTTATTTTGCCCCGGTTTTCAAAACATCTGAAAGAAATTAATCATGATTATCCTGAGGCTCTCAAATGAGTAACTAATGAGTTTCCAATCGAGGAGTCAATGAAAACCCCACTTGAGGCCGTTGCGGGTAAATGACTTTTCAATTAAAGGGACAGTGTCCCGATTATGCGCACGTGCGAGCGTCATCTGTTTTTTCTTCAAAAGACAATAGAACTGTCACATTGACTCGACAAGATTTCCTTCCGGACCAGGCGGTGTGCTTCACGAGATTCCACCAATCAGCATGCGTCATTTGTAAAGTGATTTCCGCGCTTGGAAAGAGCTGTTTTCAGAGGTATATGTGGTGAAATTTTTGCTTTATTCCAAGTTTGTGTAGGTAATTTCGACACCATACTGCCGTGGAAAGTTGTTGGAACACTTTATCTCGATAGCAGTTGCATTAGTTTTAAATATTTTGCTTTCTTGAGCGTTTGTGACAAGTTTGAATTGCTCGGTCATGTGCAAGCCGCCATGATGATTTGACTGTTATTTTCGCCGTTCTTCTTGGATTCATTGCTGGTTACTGTTAGTGAGTTTTATCGGATTATTTCGGTCAACTCGTTACTTCAACCTTTCTTCTTTGTAAATTTTGGGATCTACCCGGGTCTACCCTGTGAGTTTCCCCGTTAAGAGGCATTGAAAGTGCCTTGTCTCAGCCAAGTAGTACAACTCCCGGGAAACGGGCTGAGAAACTTGCCGAAGCGAAAGCCGACGTGAAGCGAGTAACAAAAAAATCCAGGAAGAGTTTGTTTCATTTTAAACCAGAAAAGGTAAATAATTTTGAATATTGTGATAACCTTTGGAAACAAAACATTTTTCATAACCCAGTGAGGAAACAGAAAGCGTGTCTTTAGTGTGCTATGTGTATGCAAATCTTCATGTTAACTTACGCGAGGGAATAAATCTCTACCAAAACACAAAACCATTATCGAAGATCTAGACAACATCATACAGGATTTTAAAACTGTGAGGTTAGGTTTATAACAAAAATCGATACACTGCTCTCACTTCAATGAACGTATAGACAAGATTGTGGTTTATTTCTGCGGGCTTAGCTTCGGTGAAATTCCTATTGTGCTGTAGCTGTTTGGGCGCTACTTTTGGTCTGTTTTTCCCTTGCCTATAGAAGATTTATTTGCTTATAAGGATTACAAACAGTCAGTGTTAGCAAACTAATAAAAAATTGTCAATGAAAATAAAATTGTTATGAGAGACGATGCAAGATTTCTCACCTTGCTCTTTGTTCGCGCTACCCCTCCTTGCCCGGTTAATAAAGTCCATCAAACGTTACTTTCAAATGGACAAATATTTTATTTAAGCAAATCCAGGTATGAACTACAGATCTCTTTCACTCTTCTGAGATAGAAATATACATATAAGCAAAGCACTAAACAGTACCTAAAATCTCCTGAGAAGCAGAAAATCGCCGCCTAAAATCGCACCTTCGATCGTCTGTGAATCGCGATAAACTTATTGAAATTACCTTATGAAGCCAATAGCAAGCCTCTAAGGCCAGTAGGAGATCTTGAAAATTCTCCAAATCGCTCTCTTCCGTAACGTTTTTCAGAAAAGGAAGCAGTATCTTGATCCCGGGTTTTGATTTCTCTCTCTCACGAGATGCGAACTGGACCGTGTCACGATTGAAATGAGGCACATACACAGTTTTACCCATGAACCTTTGTGGGTCGTGACGCCACAGGTAGGCCAAGCTCGAAATATGAGCATCGGTATTGTTGCGTAACATTCAAAATATAAGGATTTGCATGGGAAAAAAACCTATCGTTTCTCTAACCTACGAAAATGAAAGGATTTTAATAAAAAAAAACAGCTTACCGTACTTAAAATGTGTGTTACGTCTCTCCTGCGTGGTCCACGGGCCGATTTATGGCCGTTTTATGGGTTATTATGTAAACCGGTTATTACGGTTTTCTCTCTATATAGAGAGAAAACCGTTTACATAAAAACCCATAAAACGGCCATAACTGCAAATTTTGCAGACGAGGAGTTGAGCACTCATGTACTGATTAGGTTTAAGCACTCATTGTACTGATTAGGGTTAAGCACTGATTTTAGCGCTAGGGTTAAGCGCTGTTTAGGATTAAACACTTATTTACAACGGTTAGCATTCAGTTAATGTTTTTCGTATTGCTGTTTTCGATTTTTATAGTGTTTTTTCAATGACTCTTCAATGGACTGCATGACTTGCATGACTCGCTCGCTCGCATTTTATACACACTCCGACTTTTAGCGCAACATAGCGTTGCAACATCAATTGTTGCGACAATCTTTCGAATGGATACAACACTGTTCCAGCATTGCAACGCTGTGTTGCGCTAAAAATCGTCGTTTGAGAATCGTCTCGTGTAACATCACCTTTATATGTGTTGTCCTTGACTGTGCTCACATTGTGGGTGGCTCCTCCTAAAATGTTCTGCAACTGGTATAGGATTTAATGGAGCCGAAATCAACTGTGGAAATGCAGACATTTTAGGCATCCAACTGATGAACAGTTACGACACGTAGATATGTTATTTAGCAACTACTATAATTTGCATTCTGTCCACTTTGAATAATTACTAAGTAATTAATAAGCTGTTCAAAAGACTGGCAGATACTGGCAGACAGGTTGTCGCATGGGTAGGCATGGTCCGCGAACAACAGAGCAAAGGAAATGTTAGGTAAAAAGTTTGAAGTCGTTCAAACTTGATCCGACATTATTCACTAATATCTATACAGTCTATTAAGGTGTTAGCACAAATTCATCGAACGTTAAGATAAAGCTCGACTAACTGATGGACCGGTTAATTTAAGCAGGGCTTTAGAGACCATGCTTATCATCCCAGCCCTCCCTCTTTGTCCCTCATCCCTTTTTGGAATTGCACACATTTTAGGCATCCTACTGATAAACTGTTACGACACGTAGATATATTTTTTAGCAACTATCATAATTTGCAGTCTGTCCACTTTGAGTTAAATTACCATTCATGTCGCCAAAGCTGTTCAAAAGGCTGACAGACATGTTGTCACATGGGTCGTCATGGTCCGCGAACAAGAGAGCAAAAGAAATGTTAGGTAAAAAGTTTGAGGTCGTTCAAACTTTATCCAGCATTTATCCACTAATATCTACACAGTCCATTAAGGTGTAAGCACAAATTCATCGAACATTAAGATAAAGCTCGACTAACTGATGAACCCGTTAATTTATGCTGGACTTTAGAGACCATGCTTATTATCCCAGCCCTCCCTCTTTGTCCCTCGTCCCTTTTTGGACAAAAGCAGAGGTTAAAATCTGTTAAGTTTTTGCATCGAAAATATGTCGTTTAATATTGTGATATTTATCAACGGGGAAAATAGTATCACTTTGAAAAGTGTATCAGCGCTAACCGGATTACCTCAACTATATCAACAAATTTCCGCATTAGGAGGAATTGTTACTTGGCAACCGAGCTAATTCCGTCGCGGAAGTTTTTTTCTTTTTATGCTTAGCTTATCAAGAATTTCTGAAAATTCCTAATTTCTATTAAATATCAAATATTAAAAAAAATAATAATAATAAAGATTCATTAGTCATCGCCGTGTTGTCATAAGGCTCCGAGGAGCAACGCCCCATCAAAAGGTTTTGACAAGGTCGACCCGCTTCCAATCCACATGAAGTTCGTTTTCTCAGAATAATAACCGCAGTTGTCAACACTGGAGACTTAACTAAGATCTTCTGCTTCCTGTCAATGACGTCTTCCCATAGTATATGCAAAATCGTTCGCCACAGAGCAATAAAACCAAACCTATTGCTACGAGGAAAATGGGATGATTTTTCATTCAAGATCTCAACCAGCAGCCAAAAAGAACGCGTTCTTAGGGGGTTTCACAACTTTGTTTATCCTTCATCCTTCACTTTGTCGCGCACCATGTTTCCGTGTTTATTCTTATTGAAATATATTTGAGTATACAATACAGTTCAGAGACAGTTACTCATCTGCTATCTATGATGATCGCCGAATGTTCCTCGGGTTTCCTTACTGCTCTTTTTACTCCATTCCTATGCATTTTGTTATTGTAACCTACAACTCTCTCAAGTAAGCGCCATAAAACATACCTCCAACGGAATGCAAAATCGTAAATGCAGAATTTTTTAAACACTACACAAAACTCCTCACACTAATTTTCCATTGGCGCACACACCGACCTCTCAATTTGTAGCTCAAAAATTCCCACAGGGTTAGTGGCGATCACTGGATATCTCAGGGTGTCAGTTGACCTAGCTTCAATCAGTTAAAAGTCCCTCAAGTAATTTTATTTCTGTTGAGGAATGTGCACAGTCACCTTAATGTCTGTGTTTTGCTATACTTAAGTGATTTTAAACAGAGTTCCTGTTAGGGTTGATTAATTACGATAGATATTGCCTCTGTACACAAACATATTCAATTTTTAATAAGAAGTCAACCGTATGACACATTTCTCATCGACGTACTGAACCATGCGCTGACAATTGCGCCGACCATTTTGTTAAACTTTTTCAAATACGTTCACCATGGAAAACAGAGGGGGAGATATTGACATCGATGAGCCAGGATGTGCAGACCAAACCAGGCCGCAAACAGAAATTCTGGGAACAAAGTACGTTGAAATGGAAGAGATTGACTTCTGCCCATATTCGCCGAGCCCAGAAGAAATAGCGTTTTTTGAAGCAGTTCGTAGCGGTAATTCAGCCGAAGTGGAAGAGCTGATAAATGTCAAACACGTGGATGTAGACTGCACAAATGTCAACGGGGAAACGGCGCTACAAATAGCAGTGAAGAGGGAAGCGTTTGATATGGTTCAAACGCTGTTACGGAATAAGGCAGACATCGGGGCGGCCTTGTTCGAAGCCGTCAGGAATAACTCGTTGCAGTATGTCAGAATTCTTGTAGCACACGATTCAAGACATCGAAAAAATACAGCTGTTAAAACGCTTGGAAAATTATCAGCAACACAACATCGAAGCAGATCAGAGAATTTCGAGGAATTTTTGACGCCGCTTGTCCTTGCTGTGCTCAACGGGAACTATGAAATTGTTGAATTCTTTGTCAGCAAAGGTTACAGAGTCGACCATCCGAATACGCAGAAACCTCAAAGTGAAACTGGATCAATGGTCAGGCTTAAAGATTCTTTATTCAAGCTTAACACTTATAAAGCTTTAGCAAGCCCCTTGTACATTTCGCAGACTTTCCTCCACGAGAATCGCGAGCGAAAAGAATTGAACAAAAAGAGTTCTAGTTATAAAGCGAACGATCCTTTGTACAGATCAATTGTTCTGAGGCGGAAGCTTAAGCAACTAGGACACAGTGAAAACGAATTTCGTGAGGACTATTTCGCCCTCTCAGCGCAGAGCGAAAATTTTGCAGTCAGTCTGTTAGATGAATGTAGAAATCTCGAGGAAATAGCTGCAGTTATGGATGTACCAGAAGCTGAAACATTGAACGGGAAGATACAATTGAGACAAAAGGAACACAGATTACGCGTTCTTAACCTCGCTATAAAATATCGCAACAGAAAGGTAAGAGTGCTTTTTAATTTTCTTCCTATTTTTTTTCTTCTTTATTTTTTATCCCAAGAGGAGAGACTTTTATTTGCCAAGAAAGAGAGACATTTTATTCCCGAAAAGAAAGAATGAAGAACAAAGAACAGAGAAGTGGAGTAAAAATAGTTATATGATTAAGTTTAGTTTTGTACGATTACCCAAGTATTTTGTAAAAGTAGTTTTGGCATGGAGAGCAAAAACGCTTAACCTTTTTCCGGCTATCCTTGCGAATGCAGACGTATTTCCGGCCGTCGCTTTTCTCTCCAACCGAAAAGTTCGAGTGGAGAGAAGGGACGACCGGAAATGCGTCTGTGTTCGCAGGCTGTGATTCACCTGCGAGGTAGAAAAAGCACCAGAAAAGTCTTCTGTCCTCATAGATTAAAATAATGTTACATTCTTTCTTTTCGCCTTTTATTTTTGTGCCTGACTGGTGGAGGTTTGGGAGCAGAATACAATCCCCGTCCACAAGTATCCGGATATTTTAAAGAAACTGCTACTTTTTCCTTCCAGATTCAAAAATTTCCATGTACACACGTATCGGTATTCAAATCGAATTTCCCCGTCCACAGATATCCGACACGTATCCAGATGGCAACAGAGCATGCGTCGTAAACCGCGCAAAATTTGCATCTTACAATTTGCATCGATGAGTATAGAGAGAACCGGGCAACGAGGTTGCCATCTTGAGCAGTATTCACGGTAAAGAACCGGGCTCGATCTTTTTACGTCACGGGATTAAGAAAGTATCTGGGTTTAATTTAGCGTCCACACGATTCAAGATTCATAACGTAATCAAAAATTTCCACTCAGGAGAGCAGATTCAAAAAGTTGCGGGATTCAAAAAGTTGCGGATTCGTATGCCGGATTCACCAAATACGTCTGGACGGGATAGTGTATCCGGAAAGAAAAAGTTGCGTATTCAAGAATATCCGGATAAGTGTGGACGGAGCCTCAAATGACCTGTACGAGCATGACCGCCGAACGGGATATGCAATATTAGTTTGCAAGCTTTTCCTAAATAGGGTCTTAATCTTCTGAAAAGAAACAACACAGCATTTATAAAACAGAGGCTGCATTTCTATACAGTAGTATTTTTCTAAGCTTCAATTTGAGGCGCTACTTAAAGGAAATTGTTACTTTGATAAAGAATTAAGGATTGTTCCAGGAGCATCAACTTTTAATGTTAACGTTATGGCTTTCGAGGAATCGTTTCAGTTACTGTGGAACCTAAGCATTTTAGTGGTGTACGTCAATATGAAAACAAAACCTACTACCTACATCAGTCTAGGGGGTAATTGATTTTTATGTAAGTTCACAGGAAGAAGGTAGAATTCGAAACAGCGAAAATGCTGATATGTTTATGTCTTTTAGTTTATAGCTCATCCCTACAGCCAAATTATGCTGAACGCGATTGCTTACAAGGGATCGGGAAAATGGAATCAACTGTCCTTCAAAACGAAATTTCTTCTGCTGATATTGTATACACTTTTTATGCCACTTTGCATGCTGGGATACATGTTCACTCCTGCTAACCGACTGAGAAAGAAGATGGAGACTCCTCTGTGCAAGCTCATGAGCCAAGCGTCTTCTGTCCTGTGGTTCTTGGCTTTGGTGGCAATGTCGGCCTTCCAAGATAAATATGATTCGTTCCTGCGCTTATCACCACTAAGTGAGTTCGAATACAAGTCTATACTATTTAAGCAATAGAAAACGTTTTCTGTGTTTGCATAGCCTGATATAAACACGAGAGGGGTTGGGAGAATTCGAGACAGTTATGCAAACCCGAGACGAAGTCGAGGGTTTGCATAACAGTCGAGAATTCTCCCTACGCCTCGAGTGTTTATATCAGGATATGCAAACACAGAGAAAAAGTTTTCTATTGCTTTTATAAAGTAACTTTCCCGAGAAAAGACGCAAAACTCTTTGTATGGCAGTGATTAAAAAAGAAATTCTTACCAGTAGCAAAGTCTTGTCCACGAAGTCTTGCACGCGTAATCGGTTCTTGTATTGCAAAAAGATGCTTTCCAAAATACGGACTTTTCTCGCTTAAAATGTCAGCTTAAGCGAAAAAAAATTGACACACTTTCTTGGTAACGATTTTCCAAGTTTCAGCCAACAAAGGAATGGGTAAATAAAGTAAACTTGACGAGTTTTGAACGTGAAAACTTTTTTAAATTCGTGCTTGAGTGATTAGCGCGCGAAAAGCAAAACATCTTGACGCCACAACCATGTTTACATACTCTCATGCAAACACTCCTCTCAGCCAATCAGAGCGCGCGTGCTATCTTACTTATTTTATAAAAGACACTTTGTCATGCTATTTGCTATCTTTTTAAAAAGCAAATTTTTTGTCGCATCAACTGAATTCCAAAAATAGCGGTCCATTTTTGTCATTCAGTTAAGACTAGGTTTAGTGTATTTTGCATTGAAACTGTTTCTCGTCGTCTGTTGCAACAGATTAAAAGGATGGACTTGAAAAAGTTCACCAAAAAATGTTATGGTTAGTGCTCCTTGGTGAACTGCTTTGTTTGATATCCTCATAACGCTGATCAGAAGAAACATTTTGTTTATGGGTAAAGGTACAGCCTTTACCCATAAAACAGCAATTAATCCTCGTGTCAAAACCCCTTAAAAAATCGCTCTTTCTCGTTAGGGAAACGAGAAAGCCGTTAACCAAGGAACCAACCACTCTCGAGATTGCTCAACAGAGAGCTTTTTCATTGTATACGCTCTAAGTAATCGTGCGCCGGACCACTGACGACTTCGCACAAGTTCGTAGAGCCAAGTATCCTCAAATTCTTATACTCTTCCCTCCTGTTGACATTTATTAATCATGGCGTCATCTCAGTGAAGAGAGCCGATCTATGAAGGTATAAAACAAACTTGGTTTGAAGATACGTACCCGAGATGAATAATCTTAGTGTTTTCATAGGGTTTGCAATCCACTTGCTCTACATAATGCAGTACTTGAAAAGACAAAGAAGTTTTAGTACTTGCTTAACCCCTTATTTGCGTGATGAATTACGAGTACTAAACGACACATAAAAGGACTAACTTGGAATTATTACTAAATGTTCCAAATTCCAAAACAAATACGTTCTCTAACTTTCTTTGAGTTAGCTCTGAATTAGGGTCTTTTTTGTTTAAAAAACCGCTTCAGAACATCATTAGGGTCTAATTTAGGCCATCTCAGCTGGTAATCACTATTGATTTTGTTTGGGCCCACGAGCGTGGATAAGTCCAGATTAGCTTGGAACAGTTCGCGATAGAGCTACGTTCGTTCAAATTATGCTTAATGAGTCTAGCATTTATGCAGTAGGAATATTTATTCATTTACTTGATTTATTATTTATCTATTATTATAGCTGTTATTATTGGTATCTGGGTGGTTGGTATAATCGTCCAAGAAATAAAGCAAGCCATGTATCAAGGCATGGAGCGATATCTCGGTGAGTGGTGGCACCTTGCCGTCATACCCATGATCATTAGCTACGTTCTTGCCGCTGTACTATGGATCGTGGGCTACGCTTCTTTAGCAAGAGATGCTCATGATTTGACTGTGCCTCTTACCAAGCTAGAAGATGGCTCTTCAATGGGCTCTTATCATCTCTTGCTGCTATCAAACAGTTTCTACGCATTTGCAGTGCTTCTAACATTCTTTGAAGCCTCGCATCTTCTCCAAGTTGACTCAACTTTGGGACCGCTGCACCTGTCCCTTATGAAGATGACCAAGGATATTGTCAGATTTTTCGCGCTCTTTGCCCTGAATTTTTGCGCGTTTGCTCTTGCCATGAGGAAACTGTACTCTCAGTACGTGCAGCTGACTGCAGCACAAGTTGCCAAGAGCAGTAATGCCACTAACACATCCCACCCTTTTGAAAGGTAGGAAACAGAGACAATGTACATCTAATTCCAAAAGGTTAGCAAAATAACGCTTCCCCTTAAACTAGACACTGATAGCCACTTATCATGAAGACAAATCAAAAAAATGTAAAGCCGTTTTGATTTTTATTGATTTTCAATATCAACCAATTAATTGTGATTGATTTTTATTGACTATTATTGATGTTATTGATTATTGATTTTCATTAAATGGTATCGTCGTGAACAAAGGCATCGGCCTTGAAATCCCTGCAACGTTTACGTTTCATCACAAGAAAGAGTCAAAGATACTGAAACTAAGAGAACTATGTAATGAATGGCAAGGAGGATAAAGTTGATAAACAGGGGCTTAGAACACAGCATCATTTTCGTATATCATCGCACCTAGCTGTTGACAGAAACGTTAAAGATTACTCGATTGATGTAATGTTACTGTATTTTAGTTTTGCTTAAATTGTGACTGTGTACTGATAATACCGCTAAATTCTACTTATATCGGGAATATCGTGGTATCGGGGTTCTGTTTCATACATTTTACTGTAACTTTTGCCGGGACATAGAATATTCATAGTTATTAAACTAGAACATCGTTTTATCGAGGATCGTTAAATTGCGTTTCCACTAAGTGTATATGTGAGCTAACAGATAGCTTGTACGTGTTCTTTTAACAGAATCGAGGGAACCGTGGAGACATTGTTTTGGGCATTGTTCGGACATGTCGAATTTTCTGCTTTTGAAACGGACGAGAACTCAAAGATTACCATGGTTACAGGACAGATTTTGTTCGCAGTATACAGCCTCGCTTCCATACTGGTTGTACTAAACCTACTGATCGCTATGCTCAATAACTCATACAAGAAGGTTGATGTAAGTGCAATGTTGTGTCTACACAAATCGGTTTATGATAAAATTGTAAACGCATACAAACTAACGTGCCAATGGATGGGTCACACAAGAACAGTATAATTGATATTGCGCCAACATCCCTTTCCACGTGTTCTCAGCCATAAAAGGAGAAGTTTGCATGCAATATCACAGTAACACGTACGTACATAGCGTAAGTAAATATTGCAACCCTGGAAATAATAATTAATAATAAAGAAAAATGTGGTTAGCTTACGAAAGGATGAGGAAAACATATCATGAAGACTTTTGTTTTTCGGCCATCGTAGTTTAAACAAAAATGAAACACCAGCAGCGGTGATAAACGTTGTGAAATTTCGTATTTTGATAAGTGACGTATCGTATGCTAGTCAACAACCATTTTCAAAAGTGTTCTAAAGTGACCTTTACAGATTATGACGAGACTATTTACAGAAAATTTACAACCGGTCTGGGAGTGAGATTAAGAAGACAAAATTCTTTACAGTTATAATTACATAAGGCAACAGCTAACAAAGCATCAGCTTGTCACTGCTGATGTTGACCTGGTGTTGTGCTTGACCCACTAATTAATAACAGATGAATAAGTGCTTTGCTTCATTTTATCCGGTCACAACCTTTACTTTTATCGTTGAAAGAAGTTGAAAACATGATTTTCATCAAAAAATGACTTGACCATCCGCTATTTGTGACGTCATATTTCGTAACCATAGACATTGGTCGTCACTAAACTTGTCTCAAAATGCGCGCGAGGGAAAAACGAACTGCAACTGAAAAAGTCTGGGGCTGATGTTTCATTGTCTAGGAATTCTCAGTGGTCTTGTGCGTCAGAGGTTAAAACTTTGGCCGGAGTTCAGCCCACGCCAAAACTTTACGCGTTCTTATTTTGAAAGTGATTTGCGTTGTGAAGTTTTCTGAAATGAACTGAGCTTATTACTGTGTGATAAATAATACCAGGTATATTACCTTTAAGGAGATTTACTTCAGTCGCTTCGAAATCCCTGTTTTTATTACACAGTGCAGTTTTCTAATACAACACTTGTTGGAGATCGACACGACATCTAGATCCGAAGACCTTTGCCTTAAATTACCTTGATGTTATAAGTATTTTATACGTCTATATTTGCTTTCTTTCAGAAAGAGAAGGACACTAAATTCAAGTTTGCGAGGACGCGTCTCTGGATGTATTACATCAGTGAAGTCAGTCCTCTACCACCGCCATTTAACCTGATACCAGTAGAAAAAATTGCCTCCGCAGTCCGTTGGCTTGCTAGAAGATACAAGTGGGTTAAAAAAGTAAGTAAGTAAGTAAGTAAGTAGCAAAGCCTCACCGCACGCACATGAAAATGATTGAAATGTTAAGAAATAAAAAAGGAATTAATTTTTTGGTAAAAACTAAAACAACTATGGACACGAACCAAGGTCACAAGTTTTTAAACCTACTAAATATTTCTTACGATAATCGATCTATAATTTATATTATCGAGACACATGTTAGGAGACGTAAATGCGCATGTTTCTTTGGTTTTTATTCTCGTACAAATAGTTTCTCAAGCTTTACGCCTGAAAACTATCCGGATAGGTTGCATACTTGGCCTGAAATAAAAACGCGCGTTTTCTTTTGCTTGCTGTCGTCGTTTTTGTTGCCGTTGTTTGGCTACTTCAAACACTGTTTTCAAGGTATTATCCTTAGAGTCTTTCGTATTCCTTTTTTAGTGTCTTGGTTGTATCAAAGCAGAAGAAATTACATCAGATACAGTTAAAACTAATCAGAAAAGGGTAAGTATATCAATTTTTAGAAAATTAGAATGAACCTTATTCTCGTCATATAAGTAAGAATAGTGATAACCAAAGTAAATCAACCTCAATAAAAGCGCCGGTCTCAGAGAAAATGTACCTTCGACCAGGAGAGAAGAAAGCAGGCTCTCCTATAGAATTTGTGGGGTTCTCGTTGAAAATTCCGTTTTAGAAGTGCTAAGTCTAAAACAAAGCAGCAGGACTAGCTCAGTCAGTAGAGCGCTTGACTGCAGAGCAAGAGTGTCACGGTTTCGACCCTTAGGGTCTGGCCAGTATAGCTGACAGGGTCCACAAGATACTGCGAAATAAATGTTTTGCCTTTGCTTTGCAAATGGCTGGTCCTTTGCGTGGCTATCTCCAGTATGGAAACGTAAAATACAGTTGTCAAATTGTACTTTCGTGCTCAATACATCGACACTGCAATAAAGCGCGCTTTTTAAAATTTTGATCGGCAAATTCTCATTTGAAAAAATAAGTCGTGTCATAAATCGGTAGGTGATCATTTAATAACTTAGCTAGACAGTGCAGTGTTCTCAGTCGAGGACGAGCGAAACTATATAAGGCTTTCAAATTTCAAAAGCTTTTTCACATAAGGGCATTATTCTTCAGCGAATAATCTATAAAGAATTAGAACGGAAGCATGGGAGGTAGGCATGGAAGAGGAAGGGTTAGTAACAATGAAATAGTTAAGCTCGCCAATTATTAACATCGTTTTTAAAAATTTCCCTATAAACGTAAGCCATGTTCGACAAGTCGTTACAAGGTAACTATTTTGCATCCTTTGCTTTCTCATTCTTTTGTCTTTTACATTCTCCTCATTTTTATTTTATTTTTTTTTTTTTTTATTTTTTGAAGTAACAGTGAGTGCTATTTATTTCTCGGTTCTGTACCTGAATACCATGCATAGAGTAGATGGCCTGCATATTGAAGGTCCTGAACTTAACACTTTGAACTTAGTTATCATGATATTTAGTCGAACTAGTAAAAGAGTTGTTTGACTAACAGTTTGATTAACCACGCTTTGTTTGTTTTTGTTTTCTGCTTAGCGACGTGTCGTTATCAAAAATTTGATACATCGCTATTTTTCTGGTAAACAAAATACACTAAGGAAGGAGCCTGATAAGAACACCACCCCCTCAGACGAGGATACCCCTGAGGAGGAAGATGAGGTACAAACCAAGCTGATGGAGGTCACTAAAACATTGCAAAGCCTGCAAAAAGCAGTTCATCAGTTTCGCCGTAAGACACCAGCGGTAAGAATAAGGGAAGACGAGCTCTTTTTCCTTGAACTTTTTTTCAATTTGTTTTTGAAGATGAACATGAATATGAAAGCCATGAAAGTAGCTTATTAGGAGCCAAGGGTCCCTTTGTATCCTAATTACTAACGGAAACCTATTTTTGTTGTTTCAGGAAAAATCGCGATACCAAACCAAGAAACTGAAATAAAGGATAGAGCCTCATCTTAGAGGACATGTGCCAGAACGGATGATCTAAACACAAATTACTTGAATGTAAGAGTAGAGGCAGTAAATGCTGGACTGAAACAAAAAGCGAAAGGGCTGTGCAAATGAACCAGCGCGGACTGCGGCCCTTTGAGGCACAGATGGATGGGCGGGTGCCAGGGAAAGATATGATGCGGTACTGACTCAAGCGTCCTTTTTTTAATAGATATGACCCGATTTACAAGAAAAAACTGAAAGTAAAAAAACTTTTACTATACAGTACAAAAAATGCGACATTTGTCCCTATCCTCGCAATGAACTGAGATCTCTTCTGTACGACGACGCTGAAATTTTTCTAAAAACTCAGGTCTACAACAAGTAATGATACTGAGATTTCCAGTAATTGTTCTATTTTTCAATATACAAATCGCCAAAAAGTGAATTCACAGTGTTCAATCACCTGCAAATTACTTGTCTAGTTCTGCAAACCAACAGGAGTAATTGTCCGGTTAATAATTTTTAAGTAGTTTCGGTTAGGTACTGACGTCGAAGCAGTTGTCCGTTTCGTAAACGGTCGCTGACATTTTTAAGACGCTTATAGAAAATTGCTGACCAGTCATTGAGAGTGTTTCTATTAAAAAGAAAGAAAATCGCAATGCAGGGTCGAACCCGGACCTCGAGCTCGGACCTTTCACATCCTTATCTCTCTCCCTTACCACTCGGTTACACTACCACACCGACTGCGTCCATGAAGACCCAGGGGCAGATAGTGGGGGCGAGGGAAAGTCTAAACGGGCGGGAAAATATGGCACGAAGAAAAGTAAAGAACGGCGAGAAGAGTTCGTTTTTTTGTAAAGAATAAGTTGAATGACACTATAAAAGTTTTTAGATCCTCCTGTGTGTTTTTGTTTCAACTACTAACGGACGGGTTCAAGTGTACAATATTTCGCATCTGTGACAAGCTAAAAAATCTGGCTTAACTAACCAGCTATATAATTAATAAGTAAGAGGAATACATGCTAGTCCAATTTGGAAATAACTGAATTCAAAAAAAATTCCTCTGACAGCCAAATTATTCATTAATACCAGCGCAGCAATATTAACCGTCTCTGATCGGATTCAGATCCCTTCCAAAACGACTCATAAAGACTCAGGAACACAGGTAAACACATTTAATTGTTCCCTGTGATTTGGCCAAACAAAAGAGAAAGCAGTATAGAGATTCGGCTATCAATAATCCGGGAGAAACGACAGAAGGAGAAAATTAACAAAATATAATATATACCTGGATTTTTGAAAACCTGGTTAGCAAAAATATCAACTCATTCTACTACATGGCAATTTAAAACAACAAAACTCATTCAAAGACCGATCAGTAAAAGCCTTTATCTGGCAGTAAGTTAATGATCCATAGAAGCATTTCAACGAGTTCAAATTTAAAATGACACAAATTTTAGAACATTTATTCAGTAAACTGACTTCGCGAAGTTTCAAACCGGTGTCATTTCAGTCTAGAAATTTTTAAGTTGAGTGAACTGCAGCGAAAGCGTGCCTGGTTAAGGCTTACATTAACAACTTAAATAGTTAGCAAAACCCTACTTTTTTTCGCGGTCCGATAAACAACAGGATTCCGCATGGAATAGACAACAAACTGAATGAAACATAATGCACAAATTATCACCTTCTTATCTGCAAAAACTGGCCTATGGTGCAATGCCATTACAGACCGCTGAAACTAGACCTAGATCCAATTTTCCTGAGTCTAGAGTTGCTTTTCCAAGGTACAATCAGCTAAGCTAAACACCGACGAAACAATATTAATGGCTGGCACAGAATATTTTGGCGAAACCGCAGTTCAACAACGCGATCACATACCTGTCAACACCATGCAGAAATCACACAATCACACACTTTCGCGGCACTGATAAGACTATCCACAACCACAAATTTCAGGGAGCCCTTCGGGTTCCCCAAGCATTTTAGCTGGGGTGCCCGGGCCTCCAAGTTGGTCGCCCAAATTAATAAATCAGTGAGCTGTTAGTTAATTATTAAAAATTAATCAAATTATTTCCTTAACAAGTCAAGCAGAATTTTGTGCACATTTTTTTCATGAAAAAATCACATCCCTTTGACCTCCTAAGCGTGCGAAAAAAAAATACCCGCATGTTGTCATATGAAAGTAAGTTTTCGCGGCATATGAGAAACATGGGCAACGCCGTCGAATATTTCTTGTTTTTTAAATGGAAAAGTAAGATTCTGGTCTGTTTATGTAAATTTGTAAAAAAAAAATTGTGGGTCTAATCTACTAATCATTTTGATTTACGTTGAAAAGAAAATCCGCTCATTAAGATTGACTGAGATCCCGTGGAGCTTTCCAGGAAAACTGTTATGATTTCAACGAAACCGCGGCGCCCCCTGGGGGGTTACTTGGGTTAATTTTTGCTACGTATGTGCCGCTGGCCTCTTAGAGCCCCTACCGCATTATAGTCTTTGTAGACCCCATATTAGTCACTTTTGGGCAAATACGTAATTTTTGCTATCCCAACTTGGTCACTTTCTATTTATGTATCTACCTTATCAATCCTTTAAATAGGTCATCAAAAAATGAATTGACCCATTTTTTAATAAATTGAATGAAGAACACTTTACTTTTCACCTACAGCACAAATATCCTGGTACGTTTGCTAACCGTAAATATGAACAACTCTCTAACCCCAAAAATCCGATAATGTGCGACCCCATTCTAGTAACTCTTTTGAAAATGCAACCCCACTATCCAGCTGCACATCCCCATTAGCCTCTTATAAGGAAGTGGCCGCCCCAAAGCTATTATCTCTTTTGAATAGATCATTTTGTTGTAAAGTCGTCGTTTAAGCGCAGAACGGAAGTATTTTCTTTCTATATTATCGGTGAAATGTTCAGGACAAATGAGCTTTTGTGGATTCGGTTAGCCTTTGAGTATTTATTTTTAGTACGTGATACGTAATGCCTTGTCACGACACGAAAGACAATGCGGGATTTTATAGATTTATACCCGATCCTGAAACAATCACAATAATAGTCGTCTCTTTTCTTTTTTATACATCGTCTTTTACTGGAATAACAAAATTAGTTATGTTTTAGCCTCGCAGACACAGCAGTAAAAAAAAAAAAAGGTAAAAATATTTAATTACCGTATTTATTCGAATAAGCGCCCAACCTCGAATTAGCGCCCACCTCGAACAAGCGCCTATCCCAAAGGCAGAAAAAGTTAATAAGCGCCTTGCCTCGAATAAGCGCCCACCCCTCCTCCTCACAATCAAACTCAAATAAGCGCTTACCCCCACCCCACCCACTTGAGTGAATAAATTCTAATAAGAGACTTCCCCAAGGACGGAGTTTTCTTCAGAGTATTTTACAGAAACCTTGCTTGTTACTTCTTCGCTTTTTTTAATTAGCTTTTTGTTGTTTTGTTGCAACATAAACATACTTCACTTGCTGAAAATGGTGAAAATTTAATAAGCGCCCAGCGTCGAATAAGGGCCCACCTCGAATAAGCGCCCACTCTCAAGGTCCAAAAATTTAATAAGCGCCCAGGGCGGTTAATCGAATACATACGGTAACATAACAGAGCGACTCCCATATTTATTCAGCGATTTCTCAAAATACAAAACTATTGTTTTTTGTCGCCGACCGTACTTTACGCCTTTCAGAGCAAAAGTAACAATTTGCTTTGAAAAACTAACTAATAAACCATCCTAATTTGAAGAAAAAATTTCAATGTTATTATGAAAAGCTGTTACTATCAAAAAACTGTGCAGCTTGTCACGTTCTTAGTCAAGGATTATGTTACATGTGAATTCACGTGAAACGACCTTTGGACATCAACGCGCGCCCGCTGCCCGATTTAAAAACATTTTCTTAAAGCTTTTTGATAGACATGCTACATATTGCTACTTACAAGTCGAACTCAGAAGTTTCTTAGCGAGCGGGGTGTTCTTTTTTAGGCCGCGAAACCACTGAGCGAGCTACGATTTCGCAAGTAATAAATTCTAGACATTCTTAGCTTTTTGACCGTAAATCAACAGAACCAAGAAACCAACACCAGCAAGTCGCCCGGCTGGGCCACCTAGACAATATTTTCAGTCGCCCGAGGCCAAGTCTTGCGCCGTTAGATCAGAAGAACCGCCTTGAGTCTTCGTCCTCCTCGACGCTGTAAGCTTACTTTTCCAGGAGTGCTCAACGACCAATTTTTCAAATAAGGTTTATTTCGTTTCCGAACAACAAACTGGCACCTTTGAAGCCGTTTATGGTTGATAATTAACTTTCGCGGGAAAAAAATAGCCGTTCCTCAGAGCCAGCAAGACAAAGTCCAAAGGATCCCTTTTGCCAGCAAGCAAATTCATTGAGGACCATAATCCCAGCCAGGAATATTTTATTTCCCATTGCTTTCTACCAGCAATGTAGGATGAAAACAGTTTCAGATGTCATCCGCACGTCATATGATCGGCGTTGTACTGGGCGTTAACTGCTTGAAGTTTTTCCCAGCAAAGCGATAAAAAAAGATCGTGTGAGCCAGGAAGTGGGCGTTGTGTGTCATCTCCCAGCCAAAAATAATTTAGGTAGAAAAAATCGCCAGCAAGCTATTATCCTTAACTAATTCTCAGCCAAATTTTATGTAAGATGCCATACTTCCCAGCCAGCATCACGATGCCTGAGGAACGGCTTTTTTGAATATCGGCTCCACTGAGTACTCCTGCTTTTCCCTTCTTTGCTGACGCAGTATCTTTTATCTGCTTGTGCAATCCAACCTGAATTGCACGTGATTTGAAGATGCAGCCAATAAAAATCACACAATTTTTCGGGACGGGCACGGGATACCGGAAAGTTAAAAAAACAAGGCAATTTTCGACTCCCAAGAAAACGAAAGG